ATTATAAAACTAATCAAAAAAATGCAATTGCACCAGAAAGCTTGTAGATTTTATTTTTAATGTTCTTCCGGAAAATTATAACTCTGATTATTTATTTGAATTCAGAACGCAGCAACAAAAAATTATTGACAAAAACATAATGAATCTAAATAGTACCAAATGGTATTAATAAAAACTTTGTACAATTGCATAAATTAAAGGATTATTATTATTTTAAAAGGTAATGGAATATTCAAATACTTAGAAAAACCGTAACCATAATACTTTCTGGCTGTAATAAATATTACATTTAGTGATTTATTTGAAATAAATAAAATGATTAATTTACTATTTTGGCAGTCTAATTTTTTTTTTTGTATTTTTTTGTTACATGAATTTTTAGTGTTCGGTATTAGATATTATTAAATTATCCGGGTAATTTATTATAGACATATAATGAAAATGTCTACCCGGGTACACTCTCTACTCGATATATTTGTTTCGTGATGTTCGAAACTTTTTTGGGTGGCAATTTTACCCGGTCCATTTGTGCGCTTCTTTAGTAATTTCAAGTGAATCTACGAGTACGTTCATATTATCTTGGAGACTTAAAGAAGTTTTACTATTTTGTACTGGTGTTTCAATAGAAATAAGTTGTCTTAAGATATTGAGAGTTTCTTTTGTTTCCGGACGATTAATAGGATCGCTGTCCCAGCACCGTTTGTAAAGTTCAATATATTTAGGTGGTGTGCCTTTTACCGGTTCTTCTCTATTTCCTTGGAATATGTGAATAATGAGGACCATTTGTGATTCGAATGTTTGAAATGGTGGTCTTCCGCTTGAAATTTCCCAAAGGAGTACTCCAAAACTATAGACGTCAGATCTCTTATCACGCTTATGTTTATAGTCGAAAAGGCATCTAGGCTCCATATATGCCGGCATTCCATGTATGATTGAATTTGAAGTCATGGACATTTCATTTATCTGCTTTGAAAGTCCAAAATCTGCGATTTTTGGCTGTCCTTGATGAATTAAGATATTCTTCGAATGCTATGAAATATATAACATTAATCACTGTAGTCAAAATTCACAAATATATAAAAATAATATACTTACAAGATCTCTGTGAATAATATTCTTATTGTGTAAGAACAAAAGACCAAGCACTATTTTCTCAGCAATCTGTAATTTGTCTGCCCATTGTAATCTTGAAAAATACGCTTTCAGATACTCTCGTAAATTTCCGCCATCAGCGTATTGCAAAACCATATTATAATATCCATTATTGTCTATTTTTTTTGTAATTAATATCATAAATTAAAATGTTAATTATTTTGAATTTAAGAAAATGAAACGTATATATACCTCGCGTTATTCCATAAAATTTAATGATATTTGGATGGTAATCAACTTTTCGTAATATTTTAAGCTTTTGTTTCAGATTATTGTTAAATATATATATATATATAGATCAGGAAGCAATTCGAGTCTCAATATGATAAATACCTCTTTAATAAAGTCTTTAATAAAGTTTTTATCCATATTGGTACTAATTTTAAGGCATTAAAGAGCAACTTCTAATTCAGAGTCTTTCCACCAATATTTGAAAACATTTCCGAAACCTCCAGAACCAATAATTGTACAATATGTAAATTCATTATATTCAAGGTAATTAATATGCTCATCTCTAATACTCCTTTAAGCCATTCTGTAGATATATTTGCATCTCGAGATAGTGTAGGAATGTTTTCGAGAGATATGCCGTTATCATTCGAAAGAACCGAGTTCTCTGAGTATGTTGAAGTATTTGGAATTACGTTCGTAATGGATTTTACACTTTTTCTTTTTGATAACTTCTCTAATTCAAGCAAAATATATTCCAATGCTGGACGTAGATTCGGTTCAGATGACCAACATTGTTTGAAAAGAATTATGTAATCTATAGGTGTACCGATGATAATTTCTTCTCTTATATCGTTTATAATATTCAACCCTATAGCAAAATCTTCAAGTCCATTAAATGGTGGGATTCCACTCGTAAGTTCCCAAAGCAATACACCCAAGCTATAGATATCGGATTTTTTATCGATTTTAACTTCTTTTCCAGCTTTGAGGTAGTATTGTGGTTCAATATATGCTGCTATGCCTTTCACACCAGAACTCGAAGTAGAAGTGGAACCATCTAATTGTTTTGATAAACCAAAATCAGTAATCAAGGCCCTGCCCTCATGTATCAAAATATTCATAGAATGCTAAATTTTATGTATAAAAAAAAAAAAATTTAAACAAATAAATTTTATACAGAATTAGAATATTGTACATAAAAAGAAATAAACTAACGAGATCTCTATGAATTATATTTTTCCCATGTAAGTGGTTTAATCCAAGTGCAATTTCTTTTGCAATCCTTATGAGCTCAATCCATAATATTTCATAAATTCCATCCTTTTGTTTTCTTTTTAAATGTTCCCGCAGGTTGCCACCATCGGCATATTGTAGTACCAGCATAAAATTATCAGTTTTTTCATCTAAAGTTCAATGATTATAGTTTAGAAATGATATCACTCAAATATACAATAAGTATTTAAAATTTTTTACCTCTCGAAACGCCATAGAATTTTATAATGTTGGGATGGTTAACCGTATAAAGACGTTTAAGCTACAAACATATAATTAAATAGATATAATATAAATTAATTAAATAATGAATATAGAATACGCATTACCTCACTTTTAATTTTTCTGAATATTTTATCATCAATACGCAGATTATTTTTTAGGCTTTTTATTGCGTATATTTGTCCTTCGAAGATGGCCGAATAAACAATAGCGTATCCCCCGTTCCCAATGGTTTTAAGGTCACTGCATTGTGAATGGTCGAAATGTCTTATATCGCAATCGCAATTTTTTAGATATGCCTCTAATTCTTTCGAATAATCAATTACTAATATTCAAAATATAATAAGTTAAACTATATGCGTAAATAAATTTAAAATAATTTAGAATTATCGTTGCACTGATTAAAGTTCTAGCTCTCCCACAGAAAATCACCGTGATTTTTATCCTATTAGATCGAAAGATCAGGTGTAATAATCTTTAAGGTTAGAATTAAACACTTTGAGGGGAATTTTTGATTAAATTTTTTGTGGGAGATCTACAGCCGTTGTTCATGTGTATACAGGTATTTTACGTGAAAGAATTATGAAAAGCGGAACTTTTAATCAGTGCGATACGGCAGTTATTATAAATAGCAGCTTACATGTACTCATCGACGTCGTTTTCCAGTTTATTAATCAAAGAATCCCTTAGCGTTAGCGTTAGCCATCAGATAAATGCTTTGTTATAAATGCTGTACCCGGTTTTACAACAGGGGATTTCTGTAGTTGGATATGAATATCAGACATCTCGTAATCTCGTTTCTAATTGGTCAAAATCAATAATCACATAGCGATGCGAAAGCAAATTTAATTTATTTATTACGTTACGAAAATTATATGGAGAGGCTGTGACTCACACATACTCAAAAATATAACGGGCTATAATTTTGAATATGAACAAAAAGTTTTACGGTAGTATATTTAGAATTAATAGTGTTTTGAAAAATTTGTCAATATGTGATAGATTCCAAAAAGTATTGTCTAAAAAACGAAATTGGAAATACTATCAAAAGGTTTAATAATATTGTAACCTATCTCATCTAATAAATTATATAGAAACCTTCGTACTAATATATTCGGTTGTTGAGTGTTAAACATTTTTCTAATCTTCTATGAAATAACAAATTCATATGAATGTAATATTTGTAATTTACAGATACAAAGACATGCCAGATAGCTATCTCAGTGTCACATTACTTTCAATTTTTTTCATCACACTCTCATATATGCGCACGTACGTAATCTGTGACACTGATTTCAATCACCGCCTTAAATCATGATGAAAAGCTATTGTATTTAGTAATTTGAAAAGCTTATCATTACGAAGTTAAAGTTGAAAATATAATCGTATTTGGTTATTCTTTAAATTTTTTTTTTTTGCGATTTTATAAATTAAAAAATTTTTTTTTATCTAACATGAGTAAAGTGAGCAAATTAAAAGTTTAAAATAACCTATCAACTTCTAATAAGACTTACCGTTCAAGAACCAATTTTTTAATAAAGTGCAGGTTATACAAATTTTGATATATTTTTATAAAACGGAATTAAGAAAATGGATGAGAACGATATTTCCGGCATAACTTCATTTTTAGTATTAATTTAAGCTGCCAAATATTAGCCCAACATTGCTAACTATGTTAGATAAATTCAAAGATCAGTGTAATGTAATAAAAATAAAATCACCCGAATATTTGTCTTCATGATTTTAGTCACGACTGTTCAATCAAAAGTGCTGCGAAAATATGAGTTCACGAATAAATGATATGAAAGAAAGAAGAATTCAGCTCTTTGAGTCATCTTCATTCGAAAGATGTAGAATTAAGCATCTTTTAAGGAAGAATGTGTTGAACAATAGCACGGTTAAAGAAACGACATATTGGTTGCTTTTCTTAAAGTAAATTAAGTTTTTATTTTTTATATAAATATTTGTTTGATTAATATCAGAAGCAACTTTTGAATTTATAAGCATTTTTTTTTAATAGTTTATGACAGTCAAGCCTTACTCTGGGAATATAATCGGACGGTGATTGAAATTAGTGGCTCAACCTGTCACAGATTACGGATGTGCCATATATGCCATTAACTATACTGTCCCAAATGAAGTTTGTATGAATATAAATGACAACAAAAATATTAAAACATGTACCAACGTAAAATCATAGATTCAATTATCTTTTACCAAATATTATCAAAACTATACAACAGTAAGCGATAGAAATAATTGCACGTATTGCAAGAACATTACTATAAACTTAGTGATTTAGATAACTCTAAGCAGAAACATGAATTTAGGTTAAACCCTTATTGATTGATTTTAATAAAACCAGAAATAAACATTAACTTAAAATATTGGTTAAATAACCTTTATTGATGTTGAGTATTCAAAGTATTTTCAAGTTTGTCGGCAGCAGATTGAACATTTGCGGCTACACCGCCTCTTACAGTTCCCACCATTTCATAATTTTCAACAAGTTGACGTTCTTTGGCCTCTTCTTTCAATCGATTTAATAATTCATTTTCGTCAGGATGTTTGACGGGTGGAAGATTGTCAGAGTTGATTAGATCTGAAGGGTTTTCCAAACGTTCTTGGGCAATTGCAGTTGTGTATTTGCCTAATGCCGATGCTGATTTCATTAAATGGATGAATTCAGTGCGTATATTTTATTGAGGTTATAAATTATTCTCGAATTATATATTTCTACAAACCAACGGCAGCAGATTGAGGACCAGGTTTATGATCCTCTCTTTCTTTACTTTCATGCTTTTGTTTTTCATGCATTAGAGCTTTTAATTCTGCAATATTTCTATTTTCTTCTGCTGGTGAAATTCCTTCACCGTGAATTATCACCTCATCCTTCTCTGGTAGATGGCCGAAATTTGAAAGTGGTTTAGGATCATTTTCTAATATTAATAACCAAGTCAATATCGGTATTGAATTGTCTGATTAACAACGATAAATAATATACGTACCAGCAACACCAGGCATACCAAACCTTAAATTTTGCTGTCCTTGAGTTTGTTTTGGTACATAGTCATCTTTTTTAGGCACTGAAAAAATCCCTTTAGACATCTTTAAAAAAATTAAAGTTTCAAGACGAACTATTATCTCGTTTGTTGCTTTTATAATATTAAATCTCTAGTTACATAATTATTATGCAAATACGCAGATTGTAATACATATTTATGATGAAAATGATATAATTAATATTTAATAACTGTAATTAGCGTTAGGGTTTAGATCATATTAAACCCGATTAACACGAAAAAATAAAACCGTTCTATAACTGTATAAATTAAAAAAAATTATAAATTTATTTCATTTTTTTTTAATGAAGAATCAAAAAAAAAAAAAAAGAGCAGTTTACATGTTAACTGGTATAATGCAAAATTAATTTAGTGTGTATCTTGTGCTCTTATTCAATGTTTTAATGTCATAGTCACTATATAAATTATGTTTAATAAAGTTTAAAAACGTTATGTAGAAGTTACTGAATTATTACTTGCAAAAAGTTATATTCTACTCATGGATTAATATCATCTAAGAAAAATGAGCAGATTGTCTTGTGTTACAGTCGCATTAAACTCAAACAATGAAGCATGACATTACCCTCGTAGAATACTGATATATTGTATATTTACTTTGTTAACTGTGAACTTGGTGACTTGATGTGAAATATATAATTTACACACGAATGGTTTACAAATACACAATACTCTAATTAGAAGGTATTAGAAATTAGAGGTCTGATCCTGTATAAATGTCGTATGTTGGGAAGAAATTATTGTGGATTTGGAATCCATATAGGTTGATTCCAAATAAACATAGGTTTTAGCGGAATTCTAAAATGTACCTGAGTTGCTAAGGAATTCATTTCAACTTACACAATAAAATTAAATGTATTCATAATTATTTTATCGGGTATGTTGTTTTTAGAATTTAAGTCATTTTAAGATTAAGTTTATTCATAACGCAACGCATTGAAAATTAATTAAATTAAAAAGCATTACATAAAGTTTTGGCATCTATGATTCACTTCTTGAACGCTTATAATCGTTGAAAGAATACTAAAAACTTATCAGACCAACGGATGCAATTTATTAGTATTATACGTAACTCCAATAATACCAAAATTGTATACAACTATAAGTGTCATTTGAGAATCTTGTAAACCTTAATACAAAAATCAAAGTTGTCGCGTATATTAGTCGATTTGTTGCTAATAAACTTGAAAACCAATTCTTTGAATGCATTATGAGGTAGAAATGAGATTGTTTATCAGGTAGAGTGTTGCAAAGAACGAAACAATGAGATAAACATGACAATTTATCATGATGATATGATGTAATTTAACTATTTTTACGTCAATCGATTACACATTTATTACAGTATCGAATTTAAAATCAATTTATGCTGCTAAATTATCGACAATTATAGTATCAAATTTAGAATCAACTTAAGTTGGATTACATTTGGAATTACGCTTTAATCTAAGTGGTTTCTAAATCTACAATAAGTCAGTTCTGACATACGATTTACAATAAATTAGCCATAAGTTATTTCGTGAAATGTTACATTCTTAAAAACAAATTATTTGGCAATTGATCTACACTAGCCAATACGTGAGACATTATTAACATTACCAAAACTAGCAATATTTATCTAATTACGTACTCATGTGCGTATACTTAACTAAGTCAAATTTTCCGATAATTCTGGTTTTAAAACCAGTCTACATACACGAATTGTCAACTTGTATAATTTCAAATAGCAATTTAATTTTTTTCCTAAATATATGCTACGTATAAAACTTTAACTTTTTCAAACTTTGCTATAATTAATGAATATGTCTAACACACCGATTTATGAAAGTTTTCACCCGGATGAAAAGTATACAACTCGAATTAAGAATATTTTGACCGAATACCCGGATGGATCTCAAATCCTTAGAGAAATTTTACAAAATTCTGATGATGCAAAAAGTTCTGTTCAAATTTTCATCTTGAATCATAAAACCTATTCTTCTGAAAAGTTGTGTGATCCAAAGCTTGAAAGATATCAAGGCCCTGCACTTTTATCTGCAAATGATTCTATTTTTCAACCAGAAGACTTTAAATCTTTGGTTAGCTTGGCGAACAGCATGAAAATAGACAAATATGATAAAATAGGAGGTAAATTATTACTATATTTTTCATAAAAAATTTATTAGAGGACCTAAATATAATATTTGAATTTCTAGTCATGGGTATCGGGTTCAATTCGATTTTCCATATCTCAGACGTGAGCTCAATAATTTCCGGATCTTCTTATGTCTTTATTGACCCTCATGAACGTAAATATTGTGACGTGCCAACTGGTCAGAGAGGCTTCAAAGTTGACTTCTTAAAACACGACATGTTTAATCGCGTAAAAATTATTTTGACTATTAATTGTATTTCATAACTTTTTTCAATAATTTTATTAATTTATAGAAACTATATTTCATTAATTAGCATCCTGATCAATTCGAGCCTTTTTTGATTGAGTTCATAAAATCAAAATTAATTGACAAGGTAAACATAATGTTTTTATTTATCTAAGCGATTCGAATTTAATTTTTTTTTTTATCGACAATTATTGGATCTAAGTATTTCTATCAGAAAACTTTTGAACTTTTGAGGGACGATTTATTATGGATTTTTTATTTGGATTTAATGTAATCTGTATTTGTGCGAGATTGAAATTATTGTTGGGTATAATTAAGCTGATATTGGATATTTGAAATATGACATTTAATTATTTGAATTTTGATTAAATCCCTTATCGTTATTAGTCAAAGTATCTAACGCTAATAGCATTTGATCGATTGCATAAGTTCATGCAAAAATTAATTAATTTATTTTCATAACTTGGCCGGGTCAAATTCTAAACTTGTAAAAAAAATTTTTTTTGTATGTTTTACAGCTGTTTTCATAAATCTGGCAAAAATTGATCGGCTGAATATTTGCCGATTCAATAAGTTATGATAAACTTTTGATTCCAATGTCATAGGCAACAGTTTGTCTGATTGGCTATTAATTTTTACATTATTTATACATTTTAGAATACTTTTTAAAAAAAGAAACCTAATCATAATGAAATAAAAAAAGCTGTATAGAAGGTTTCATTGACTCCATAGCCAAAAATAAGATAATAATAACTTCTCAAAACCCGATAAAATCAACTTATTACTAAGCTAATTTTTTTAAGCGGACGAGATTAAATCTTATTTTTGATTATGGAGTCCTACAGCTCTAATGAAACCTTATATATAGTTTTTTTTACTTGGTCTTCATTTTTTTAAAAGGTACTCTAAACAGTATAACCAATGTAAAATTAAATTGAATTTATTAGACAATCGGACGAACTTTTGCCTATGAATTCGAATGTTATTACATCCACCGAATCAAACCTTTATCTAATCGGCAGATATTCGGTCGGTCAATTTTTTTCAGAATTTATGAATAACCGGGTGGTCAGCCGGTTCTGTATAAAAAAAATTCCATGTTATGAAAACCAAGAAATTAAATTTGTGTGACCTAATTATCGAGTTATTGTGAAAAAAATTTTATTCAAAATCGCTTTATTATATTATTTCACACTTTCTAAAACTAATAATTTTTTTCTATTGATTAGAATCCTCACCAATTCGATAATGTTGAAGATGGATTTTATAATGGGACAATATTTCGATATCCACTTCGAACTTCTAGAGATGCAGATGAATCAGAGATTTCACATGAGGAATACAAAGCCGAACAAATAAAAAATTTGTTTGATATCTTTTTCAATATTGACAACATTAGTTGTCTTTTATTTTTGAAGCATATTGAAAAGATTTTATTTTTTGAACTTAAAGAAAATGCCAATACTCCAGAATTATTGTATGAAATTGGAATTGATAATGTGAAAGAAGTATTTCGTGAAAGGAAATTACTAGCCGAAAATATAATGTCAACGATGTTATCAACGACAAGTCAAGATTCTTTTGAATCAATTTATAAAATGAAGTTTTTACAAAAGGCTAAGCGTAAAAATATTAAAAGTGAATGGTTAATTGTTAATTATATTTCTGATACAAACGATGAAAAATATATTAAATTTAAGAATCACATTCGTGATTGTAAATTTATACCGATTGTTGGATTAGCTGCAAGAGTTGACAATATAGCTAGAAATAAGGGAAAGCTCTACTGCTTTTTACCCTTGCCTGATAATTATGATGACTTTTCTATCTCTATTAATGGTTGCTTCGCAGTTAGTAAAAATAGAAGACATTTGGAAATTTCAATGGACGAAGATCTGGTAATGTGAAATTATCATTTTATTATTATTTTATTACTATAATTAACTATTATATTTATATTATTTTCTGTAAATTTTAGGCGCCAGGTGATATGTTACGCCTTAAAGGTGCATGGAATAGATATTTATTTGAAAAGGCTATTCCTGAAGCATGGAAGAAACTTTTAACAGAAATAATCAAAATAAGAAGTGTTTCATACGAAAAAATTTATACATTTTGGCCATTACCAGTGGATAAACCCTCTCGTGAATTGGATAATAAATCATGTCTATGGAAAAATCTTTTACAAAATGTTATTAATCGCCTCGAAACTGATCTTGGAGTATTTCGTGGTCCTTCAGGGTATTTATCAATAAATGATGGATACTTAATCGATAAGGACTTTCGTAAATCATCAGATCTATCAAGAATCTTGGAAAAGTTGGGATTTCCCATTTTTGTAGAAATTCCAGAACAAATTGTTGTCAAATTAAAAGATTCTTTCAAAAATTCTCTAAAGTGCATTACACCAGATAAAGTGTGCAATTATCTTAAGAAATTAGACAAGAAAAAGCAAATAAATATTGTTCGTCTTAATAGGTCGGACAAGTTACTTCTATTGGAATATATTCTTGGAGTTAATGATGTCTCTAATCTTCATGGACTTCCATTGCTCCCAGTCAAAAATGGTACTTTTACAACTTTTGAGCCAAAAAGTTGTCCGAAAACTTTCTACATAGTTGGCAAAGCTGAGCGCACACTTATTGATGAAAAACTTTTTGAATCAATTATTGATGATGAAATTGACGATGGAATTTCATCAAAATTAAAATCTTATTCAAAAAACGTAAAAGATATTAACATACAAACTCTTTCAGAACATCACTTTGTGGAAATGCTTAAGAAATCATTGAAAGGATATTCTGATGACACTCAAGAAATTCCGATTGGAACAAATGAAATTGAATGGATATATGACATTTGGGATCATTTACAAAAAACTAACAGAAATTTGTCACGTTTTGAGGATCTTCACCTTTTACCAATAATTAAAAATAATGGTATTCATTTGAGAAAATTAAAAGCAACTCCAAAATGTTTATGCAATTTACCACGTTATCATATGATTGGAGATATGCAACATGGGTATTTGATTGAACTATTCAAATTGCTGGGTTCTACTTTTATAGATATTAAATTTGAAAAACTAAAGGTTTCAACCTATGATAAGTGAGTTTTTCTTTTAATAATAAATATTTTTATCCGGCACCTTACTATTTTGATGATAATTGCATCATCATAAAATAACTCCGTTATTCGATGATGACGCAATAATTATCAAAAGAACTCGTTGATTCGGATACCAGATAATACCGTTATTGAATGCTACTCAGCCAATAACCTGTTTATCTGACTGTGAATTTAATATGCGGGGCCAGAAGCCGACATATTAAATTTCACAGCCAGATAACAATAATGATAAATAATTTCCGTTATTGGCCGCTTCGCATCCAAATGACTATACATTATTTACCAATTAATAAACATATTCTTGTATCATTACAGACTTAAAAATTATTTAATTGAGCTCGATGATGTTAAAGCTGTCATATTATCCTTCGGAGAAAATCACTTATTTCCATCTAACATCACTAAACCTATTCTCAGTGATCATGGAAGAAGATTCTTAATTAAATATTTTGGAAGTTATTTACAACGTCAAAGTTTTTTTGATAACAATCTAATAGAAGTATTAATGCATTTTCCGATTTTTAATAAAGTAAAAGATAATCAAGCAATTAGCATCAATTCATTATTCAAGACAGCATATTATTTACTTCCTGAACAAGATGAACGATCATATGGATATATTATTTCGCCTGATTGTACATTTTTGAAAGCTTATATTTCTAGTAATGCTGCTTTTATTCTTGAAAAAATACTCAAAGTTAAACGATTAGATCAAAAAACATATTGGAAAGACCATGTCATTCAACATTTAAAGAATCAAAGACCTGATATTAAAGATCAATTAATTACGAAACTTTTTGAAAGATGGGAGATTATAGCACCTTTTCGAAATTATCTTTCAGAAATACCATTTGTTTTATCATCATCATCATTTAGAAAAATGCCAAAGGAGATCTTTGATCCAGATAATTCCCAAATAAAAGATTTATTCTTTGAGTACGAATCAGTTTTTCCAACTGGAAAATATTTGGATCGAGAATATCTTTATAAATTACGCCAACTTGGAATGAAGAATTCTATGACAATAGAAGATGTGGTCAATCGGTTAAATGTTTATGCAGGAAGTAACACTAATGATAGATATTCTAGATCCCTTCATCTGCTAAGATATATTGACGATAATTTTAATGATTTTGAGAATGATGAATCATTCTGTAAGAAAATCAAAAGTGAATCGTGGATTCCAATTTTAAAACAGAAAAGCCAAAAAATATTCTTAAAAGCTTCGGAATGTAAGGATCAATTACATCAAAATTTAGTTTCATATGTAATACCAGTGGTCCAATATCAGATCAAAAATAATGATTTACGTCGAATTTTTGGATGGAATGATGATCCACCGATAATGAAAATAATAGAACAATTATTATACTTGACAGACTTAATAAATCAAGAGGGTCTTAATATTGAAATAGGTGATCAAATTTATAAGATTTATGATTATTTAAATAAGGTTGTCAGCAGCTCGAATAACAATATCGATATAGACCTTTTGAAAAGTAAATTATCGGGAAAAAAATGGATTTTTAATGATGACAAACTTTATTCAAGCGAAGAAATTGTATTTTCTTCTATAATCCAAAGCAATACGGTGACACTTTCCAATCGAAATAAAAACAATTATTCGAAACTTTTTGTTGTACTTGGAGTTGCGCATGAACAGAATTATTTTGAATTACTTAAAGAGTATAAATTTTCGAGTGACAAACAAAAGTACATAATTGATATGATTGAACATTTATCTCATACTGAAACGGAAGATAGATTAAAAGAATTATTGGTTCCAAACATGAATAAAGAAATGGTCCCATGTAAAACATTATTTTATGACGATATGGATACAAGGGTTAAGGAATCAGATAAAGATTTTAATGTCATAGCACATCCTGCAATTTCAAGAGACGTAGCAAAGAAATTAAAACTTAGAAATTTTAGTGAAGAATTTTTAAAAGGTAGAATCGATTTTGTTAAACAAAATGATAATGTAACAGCAACCTTTTTAAAAACTATTCTCGAAGTATGTGTTTATGATTTTTATTATTCATTATCTTTAAATTCTTTTTATTAACATTTAAATAAATTGAACAGAAATTTGATCAAGAAGAAATCGTTTTTCAAGAATTTCTCAAGAACGCGGATGATGCAGAAGCAACCCAATTTTGTATCATTCTTGATGAATCTCAATATTCAGATAAACTTTTATTAAGAGAAGATATGAAATGCTGGCAAGGACCAGCAATATGGATATATAATGATAGTGAATTTTCGCATAAAGATCTTGAATCACTTAATAATATTGGTAGGAGTGATAAAGGAGCTAACAAAATCGGAAAATCTGGCTTGGGATTTGCATCATGTTATCATTTTACAGATATGCCACAGATATTATCGGGTACAAAGATAATATTTTTTGATCCGCAAAGAAAAATATTTTCCATCGAACAATGTTATGGCTCTATATTCGATTTTGAGAAATATAAGAATGATGAAAACCATATAATGAAAGCATTTAAAGATCAATTTGAACCGTATTTAAAACTTGAAGGGTGTGGATTCAAGGTTGATTTTAACAAAAAATTTAATGGAACCTTACTTAGATTACCACTCAGGACAATCAAAAGCCCGATATCTGATAAGGTCTATACTACAGATAATGTATGGCAAAACGGTGCTGATATTATTGATCGTATTGAGAATTTATTAGATGTTATAAAGAAAGATGCAATTTCTGAACTAATTTTTTTACGTAATGTGCAATCCATTAAAACATTTAGAAAAAGAGACAATGTAATAAAGCCCTTATGGGAAGTTGAAATTAAGGAATTCACTGGTAATCGTAAATCCCTTCGGAAAAAACCACAAATACTTAAGTTTGATGTTCAATATATTCAATATAGTTCAACAAATATTTCAAAAACAACGAAATGGCTTATGTGTGCAGAAAAAAAGGATAACAAACATTTATGGAATGCGATTGCAACGATTATTCCTGAAAAGCAAACTGAAGAAATTTTTAATGGGAAATTTTATTCATATCTTTCCCTTCTAAATTCATCAGAACTTCCTGTAATTTTTCATTCAAACGGTTGGGAACTTTCGTTAAATAAAAGAAGCCTTGCACTAGATAGTGAAAAGAATACAAATATTTTAAATAATATTTCCGAACTTCATGTAAACCTTCTTGAAGAGCTTACGAAAATAGAACATCAAAAAAATGATAATTATCAAATTATCTCTCAACTCTGGCCGATTCCAGAAATCGAAAACGATACATTTAAAATTAAGGAATATGGTAAAAAGGTATTAGAACGTTTATGTGAAAAAAATTCCGAAATATTTTGGTCTCCGTGTGGTGATGGCAAATATGTTAGCTTAAAAAATAGTATCTTTATAAATGATGAAACTCCAGAAAACATTGTAGATTTTCTGAATAGAAATAATTATTCTACAGTCAAAATTAAACCCGATCACCTAAATGAATTCAAAGAAAAAAGTGGATATCAGCAAGTTAGTCCTCAATTTGTTCGAGATATCTTGAAAAATAATGAATCCATATTAGATTCTTCTGAACGGTTTTCTTTGCTGAAGTACATTCTTGAAGATAAAAATTATGGAGATCTTGAAAACATCGCCTTAGTTCCATTATTTGGTAATAAATTTGGAAGTTTTGCAACTGAAAAAAATTATATCATTGCTACATTGGAGCAACAAAAATTATTTCCTAAAGTTGGATTAGAATACTTTATTCCTGTTGATCTGTTAAAAACATCCGATTTATATGAAATATTTTCTAAAAATGAATTTCTCAAAGCTACAAACATTCAATTTTTCGGTGAACCAACAATTAGACGTTTTTTGCAACAAGAGTTACACCCTATATCAGAAAGAGATTGGAATCCATCAGCTTCAACAATTCCGAATCAAGAATGGCTTAGTGAAATATGGTCGTATATTATAAATAATTCATTATCGTCATATACATCTTTTCCTTTGTTAGAAGTATACGATCCAAATAAACAAGATCAGCATCAATTAATCAGTTTAGAAAATGCAGCAAACAAACCTTTATTAATCTATGCTCATAGTTGCCAAGAATACATTAAAACATTGACAAACATTGGAATACGATTCACCAAACGTAGATATGAAAAGGCTCTTAATAAATATGTTAAAAATTTAGAGCCAGATAATGTATTATATGTTATTGATAAATATCAATGCATTGAAAACCAACTTTTTACAAAGCAGGAAGATAGAGAGATTTTGTGTAACTATTTTACTTTGAATATTAGCTTGCAAAATTATCCGAAGTACAATAATAAACGGGTATTTAAGCGATTACCTATATGGCCAACACATATCTTAGATTCTGAAGTCCCAATATGTAAATCAATTTCGGATACTTTTGTGTATCTAGTACCTTTAGGCACAGTTTCATCGAAACCATTTACATTTTTTCCACAAAATCATCGTGGTATTTTTTATTATGAAGTATCAAATTTTAGACGAAAATTATTGGCAACTGCAGGTGCCAAAATACGAAACAGATTAGATTATTTCAAAGAAACTATTGTCGATAATATGAAGAAAATTCTTCCACAACAACGAAATTCCTATACAGAACTTTTAATTGAAATGTTATCTGACACTGAAAATCTTGACAATATTAAATCTTATATAAAAAATCTAAAAGTTTTTCCAGACGAAAATTATGAACTTTATGTTGCAAGAGATTTAAATGATCGAGATCATCCAATTCTTCAACTTGTTTATAATTATTCCAATCGATTTCTTCCAAAATGCATTCAAGACAATCAAGAATGCTTAAAGGTTCTTGAAGAAATAGGATTTGTAAGAAAAGTTACACCGGAAATATTTATCAAATGTGCCAAATACATTCAAGAATTGTTTAAGAATCGCAAGGATAATAAGATTGAAATAGGCAATTTTAGGTACTCAGCAAGCACTACTCTTTGCTATTTTTATAACAACCAATCTACATTAAAATTTTCGGAAAATGAATGGGAAGAATTATCAAAAATTAAATTTGTTCCGATCTCAAAGAACTTTTTAAAATATCCATATTCTTATAGTAGTAAAAAGAACGTGGAAGAGTTGGAATGTTTTGAAAATTTATGTCTTTCAAAATACAAGAATTTCGCATGGACTCAACTAGCATTTTTTGAGAATGAGCCAATCGAAGAAGTTACAAAAATTTATGAAAATTTTGGTCAACCAACTATTCAAAATATCATTAATCATTTAAGAGCAATTCAATCCACTGTGTCTAAATCTAAAGATTGGGAACAAAGAGGTGATGAATTATTCGAAATCATAAAACAAATTTATGAAAAATTAGAATCATTATGTGATGAAAGAAATGATGAACTGAAATCATTCTTCCCGAATGACCTTCCGCTTTTTTTAAATGGTGAAAACCCACTTGATTCGGAAAGCTGGATTATCGCTTCATATCTTGATTTAAATATCAAAAAAGACTTCAAGCCGGAAAGAAGAGCTACCACTGAATACCTTAAAAAATATAATAAACTTTTAATTTTAGCTGGCGCAAAAGCATCAAATTTACCGAAAAACAAGCAATATGGAGATTATGAAGAAAACAATTCACAATATATAATTAAATCAATGATTGATTCTTTATGTATTGGAGAGAATATAACCCGGTCTAATAACGTCTTATTTTATATTAAAGAACAAAAATTTTATGCGGATTCATCAATATTGGGTTATGTTGCACCATATTTTAAAAGAAGTGAACGATTTAGTTTTACTTTTAATGATATTGAACCAGGTTCATGTCATATTTTACTACGATGGCTATATGGTGAATCATTATCTCAAGCCATAAGTTATATTAGAAAAAAGGAGGATGAAGATGGCTTAATTCAAATTTATAAAGATTTATTACAATTGGCAAATGAATTTGAGCTTGAATCACTTAAACAGCTGATAGAACATAAATTATCCGCATATCTTGACATTAGTTTGAATGAAAACACTCTTAACGAATTGAAGACTTTGGCTCAAAATAATGAATTAATTGATCTTTTAGATTATTGTAATATGTTAGAAAAGGAATATTGCTAACCTTTTTAGTATAGTATAGCATTTATATTAGTTACCTTTTTTTTAATTTTAGTGAAAATGCTTGATAAATATGTATTTACACGGCATTGATTTGCAAGTTCATTTAAGATAAAAAACAAAAGAATAAAGAGCAAATTAAACTAATTTTAAAATTAAGATAAGGATCAAGTTATAGTTGATGGCGGAATTAATTTGGTAATCAATAGGGATGTTAAATTTAGCAAGTCCGTAAACTGTGAAAGGTTAAACCACTGGCTTCAATCACCACTATGCTAATCAAATCATAATGAAAAAGCTACAGCAGAGACAGTGCCCGATCCAAAGTTAATCCCTCTCGCCTGTGATAAATCACAAATTAAATTATTTATGTTGAATTCAATTGTGATGGATATAATCCGTCACCAGTTTCAATATACGTGTAACATCTGCTGTATGAAAAAGCTGTTGTATTTAGTAATTTGAAAAGGCTTATTATTACGAAGTTAAAGTTGAATATATTAAAAATGATTTGATCTTATTTTGTTATTCTTGCGATTTTATAAATTAATTTGTTATTTTTATCTAACATAAGTGTGCAAATTAAAGGTTTAACAAATTATCGACTTCTAAGATTTAAAAGAGGACAAATCTTTTTGATAAAGTTTATAAAAATTTTTTTTTAGTATGAAGGGTCCTTCAAATACCGTGCAGGTTGTACATTTTTTTAAAAAAAAAAAACTTATAAAATGGAATTAAGAAACTAGAAAAAAGCGATATTTCTGGCATCACTTCATTTTTAGTTATTAATTCAAACTGCCAAAATATTAAGTAAGCATTACGAACCGTGTTAGATAAATTCAAAGTATTATGTAACAAAATAAAATCTTCCGAATATTTTTCTTTGTGATAATAGTCGCGACTGTGTTCGTAATTATAATTATGAAATTAAAAGGTTTTTATTTGTTTGTTTAGTTAATATCGAAAAAGCAACTTTTGAATTTATAAGTTTTTAAATTTAATAGTTTATGACAGTCAAGATAGTGGGTGGTGATTGAAATTAGTGGCTTAACCAGGGTGATCGTCATGCGAAGTGAAACCACCCTAGCGTCACCCGGAATAAATTGTAGCCGGATTTTTTGCTAGTCTGCATATGACTTCGGATACTAATTTCCGGGTTTAAATAATTGGTAGACAATTCGCTTTATATATCAATACCAATAAAGGAAATTGGTTTAACTGAGTTTCCCGGTTAGTATATCGCATAAAAATATTTAGTACTAGAATTGCAATTACAAATACACGCATTCTTTTTTTTTCAATTATAAAAAAAAATTACATTATCTGAACCACAAGTTTTATCATTGTATAGATTTATGTTACAACGAAGATAAACTAAATTTTTTTATATATTATAAGAGAATGTATATATCCTAAATGTTTGTCAGCAAAGATAAGATACTCAAAAAATTATTATTCCCAATACATCATATTGCTGTTAAAATCCTACCATGTTTTTTGCATTGTCCATTGATTATCTAATAATGAGATATTATTATTCATTTTTTCCAGTAATTTAAAATTTGGATAATTTTTTTTTTAACCATAAGTGTCTTTTTGGTTTGCTTCAGGATTCTTCCAACAACTTTTTGTCTTAAATGCAGTTATATATGTGAAAGTCTGAAAAAAATTAATTTATATATAAATTTTAAATAAATCATTTTGTCTAAAACTTTATATAAATAAGTTAATTCTGATTCATATGTGTCTTGTTCTTTGTCATTACTTTCAATAATGTAGTCATCTTCATGCTCAGAAATTTTATCTTAAGATAATAAAACACTTGAAATTTTATGATTTTTGAGAATTTTGAAGATTTTCTAAGTCAAATGCATTCACTAATTTGCCTTTGTATATTGAGATCAAAGGATAATACTTTTTTTGTGTATTTGTAATATAAAAATATATTATATAATTTATAATATATACTAAATATTAAATAAATTATAACTTGTTTTTTTAAAAAACATTAAATCAGCTTTTTTAATAAAATTGATTAAATGTTTGTATAAAAAAATTGATTAAAATAATATACAGAACATGTACATATCGTCTTGATAGGATTAGTGAAATATTTATTATTTGATTGGTTTTTTTGCTTTTCATATCATTTTCACACTTTTTTAAACTCTTTTTACTATGGTACTGAATATTGACTTTGTTAAAACAGTTAAACTCGATATAATTATTGAATAAGAATTTTTTTTGATAAGAAAATAACAGAAATGTTTGATTCTAGGTTATGAAATTTATATAAGTGATCTTATTTAATATAACACCAATGCGATTCAATAATTATAATAGTTTTAATATAACAAATATATTCATTAGATAACTGTAGTTATCACACTCTTTCTACCAATCACCAAAACACAAAACCTGCAGAAACAAAAATCAAGACTAACAGGAAAACCACTGTCAAAACTGGACTTGAAGACTTAACAAAAAAGAAAGAGCTGCAAAAATAGAACTAGCAAGCAAATCAGCAGAAGAAAACAAACCAAGAAGCAAATAAAGAAAAGACAAACTTTTCAAACGAACCTCAAAAAAAGAAAATTTTGGGAAAATAGCTTAGACCTAGAATCGCAGATCTGTTTGAAACACATGAGCACGTGAAGAGACAAACAAACAGGCACGTACAAATATAGACAAAGTAAACACGTAAGTATCATAGAGGGCACGTGACTATAAACAAAGCAGCACAGAGTACAGCCACAGATGACACAGACAAAAGCAGAAGAGTCAATGACGCTAAAATTGGTAAGTGAAAGAGCAGAGGCAATACTAAAGCTCATAGGCAGCAAAGAATTAGAACAAGAACTAGCAA